CCCCAAAACCCCAAAACCCCAAAACCCCAAAACCCCAAAACCCCAGCTGATTTAAGCTTGATAGAATATTCGCGAGAACAAATTTATTTAGGAATCAAGTTCAAAAATTGTGCAAAGTCTTTGGGCGTTCTGATCTTCAGGAGCCCGTGTTCGTGGCTATCTTCAGCCTCACACTTAGCACAGACATCATACTTATTTCAGATGGGGCATTTATATCTGATGCCAATAATGGGTTTTTGCTTACACGAAGTGCACTTTACATTTTTATGGAAAACTCCTTTAAATAAGTTGATATCCCTTTGTAGCTGTGATTTTGCCTTAAATTTACTAGTCTTGTCAGTGACTAGCTTAATGACTTGCTCCATTCCTTTTGGTAGAAGGCTCTGAATGTGTTCGTACAGCTCCTCTTGGGTCTTATTTAGCTTCCTCTAAAGCTTAATCTCAGTCATACCTTGAATTTCGGATTTGTCTAAATCAAGTTCGTCCCGAGAGACACTTGCCTGCTGAGAATCAGCTTTTTGATCATTGCTCTTCTCAAGAGAAGAGTTTATTGGCTCTTTAGTCTCTTCTACGGGCTCAGCTGTTCGAGGCTCTACAGTAGTGTTCTTCTCAACTGGAGACTAAGGGTAAGACAAATTGAAATTACAAGCTTTTGAGACTGGTTAGTGTCTGATCCCTCTGGCTCGATCACCTCTCCTTCTTGAGTCTTGGCATTACTAAATAATAAATCCAAATGATCTTGGTCGTTCTTGGATATTCTCTCAACCTAAAGGGTAAGGTGTCTGAGAGGGTCAGGCCATACCTTTTGTAAAATGAGCTTTGGAGGTTTCATAAGAGAGTTTTTGATCACACCCTCAAGACCACTATTATTTTTGAATATAGGAGTAACACTCATTGGATCAATGAGATGGTATTGGTTATCTTTCATTTGTAATTGTTCGAAAATTTTAAGTTTCAAATCATCATAGGATTTGATTTCCTGCATCAGGTATACTTCACCATCGACAGAGATTTTGAAAGACGTCTCCTCAAATGCGCTCATTTATGAAATAACTATTTTATAAAATCCTTCTTCTGTAGAGGGGTTTTGGGGTTTTGGGGTTTTGGGGTTTTGGGG